GATACGGTGTGTAATTTGCTGGGCAACCGCGATTAAAGAATTGACTAATGTGTGTCTCGGTGCTTGATCAGAATATTAAAAGAAAAAGTTAGCATAATAGAGATTGTCTAAAAGAAATGCTTATTTTTCTCAACTTATCCTCTCCTTTTGGAGTTATCTGAGCCACGTTAGTCTGGTTGCTTAGCTTTTTGTTAGTGCTTGTTCTTCTGAGACACTCCTGTAATATAACAACGGGTTTGGCTTCAGAGAATTTGGGGCTTTCTGAGTTTTGTAGTAGAACATCTTGTCTATCTGGTGTGGTGTTTCTGCATCACCACTCTCTTATGAAAACAGGCCAAGTACCAGCAGTTTTAGAATGGTAACTAGCTTGGAGCTCTCCAGAAAAGGTTTTCTAGATGGCCACCTGCCCTGTCTGGGCCTTGGCATGCCCTGTGGCCGCAGCAACGCAAGGCTGCGTGTAGGCAGATCCTCCTCCCAGCCCCCGTGCTGTGTCCCGCTGGAGGAATTGCTGTCCAGGTACCAAGAAATGCTGCTTCCTTCCTGGGGTGCAGCCTGGGAGGGGAGGATTTGGTTAGAGTTAGAATATTAAGCTCATGTCAGTATAAAACACCTTGGAGATCCATCCCTTGTAGTTTGGTATTCATTGTTTGTGTTCCAGCTCAGCTCACCTAAAGCTTAGAAATTTTTCTTTTTTTATTTTTTTTTAAATCGTTATAGCTTTCTAATACTTCTTTCTTTCACTCAATGTGGGGATTGTAAATTTTCGTCTGTATTTGGCCAACCTGGGCCAACATTACCATAACATTGCTGAGAACAGGCTGTGCTTCCCTGAACTTCTGTTCCACATCTGAGGGGACCTGGACTTCAGGGGACAAAAGTCTCCTGCTCCCCACCAAAGAGCGCTGCTCAGGAGAGCTCAGTGTGTCTGCAGAGCTCTGCAAAAGCCCCCAGCAGTGGCTCTGTTACCCTGTGGATGTCCTTGGAAGACCCTTAGCAAAATCTGTCCCCTTTATCTCAGTGCTTTGCACAAAAGTGACTCTTGTAACCTCGTCATGTGCTATTTTCATCTCACTTGAAATAGCAGCTACTTATCACAACCGGACACGTACACATTTGCTTGGGAAGGGATTCTGAAGGTGAGCAGTTTTTTCTAGAAGTGTTCATTTCATAAAGGGCAACGGTTGTTGTTCAGGGGCCTTTGGGTAATACGGAACCCTTGTCCCAGGAACCATAGAGAAGGTAGCTGAAGCGTTTTTGAGAGGATACGGATCAGTCAATCTCCATCTCTATTCAGATTGTCTAGGGAACTCTGGGCAAAACCTCTCTTGCAAAAAATCATGTCAGGCAGATGATGTGGGGCTCTGCATAAGATTGTTTTTTTTTCTTTTCGGAGCTTGCAGAATGGTTCTACAAAAAGTACCACAGACTTCAAGCTAGTCTGTGGATATATTTGAGTAAGGATGTCAGCTCAAGTTCACCAGCATTTTCTCTCTGACTGGGGAAAAAACACAGGGAAATCACTAGTTTTCACAGATGGATAGCTGGCAAATAGAGGTATTTTTTTCCCTTTACTTTGAGCAGAACCTTGGAGTGTTCTCCAGGTAAAAGAGTGTTGCTTCCCCTGTATAATCCAAACTTTCAGTAGCATGTCAGATGTTTTAAGGATGCACAGCTGGGACTTGGATATGCATGTGAATGTGAACACACTCCAAGGCAATGAAGTCCCTTAGAAACAAGTATCGACTGTTATGTTTGTTTCCCACCTGAATTCTAAATCAATACTATTTAATACTGAAATATGTATGATGTTCTCTCCTGAAAACAGATTTACAACTTTGCCAAAATACTATGGAGACTGTCTTAGCCTCTTTTGGAAAAAAAAAAAAAAAAAAAAAAAAAAAAAAAAAAAAAAAGTTTAAAGAAAGTAGCTTTTGCTTACAGAGGCCCTCATACAGAGATCTGAACCTGATTGAAAATTACCTTACATAGGAACGCATGAAATAACCAGGTGAGACCAAACCTAGCCATGATCACAATATCTTGTCCCCACTGGAGATCACCAGCAGATGCTAAGAGAAGATTTGAAGAACTGGGCAGGTGCACAGATGTGACTCTGTTGTGCTTTCCAGCCTCTGTTACTTTGCAGCATGTGGAGTCCCTGAGCTACAGGTGGTATCGGCAGCCCTTAATTTATTTGTCTTCCATTTATTGGCACTGTTCGTCTTGAACCTGCATAATGTTTAGCATCCAGAACATCATCTAGCAAGGTTATCCATAACTTAACCATTGTGCTTCGAAGTGGCTCGCTGCACAGTTTGGCTTGTACTGGACCTGCAGGATGGTGGTTGTAGAGAAGGGTGGGAAGTCACTAGGGACAGTTTTCCAAATCTCTACAGTGGTGGTTAAATAACATCAGAAACTAAGTGGCGTTGAGGTGATAATTGCATATTGCACTTCAGAAATTACTGACAGGGTAAGAGGTTTGAATGCAGAACAGTCCTGGGATCCTGTGTGGGTAGGCATAGAAATTTTATACTGAAGTAATATTCATCTAGAAGTCAGTTGAACAATGAATGCATTGGCCTCGGCGGTGATTTAACACTGCAGTTTGGTGTTGATCATACCTAATGTGTCCACAAAACGTGCCAGGCTGGGGCTTGCTGTGTGGTACTGCAGGCTGTGCACCAGGAGCCAGGGCTGCTGAAGGAGGTTGGATTTCCAGGCAAGTTTCAGAATTCATTGCTGTTCCCCATATATCTGTATTAACCTTAAGTCAAAGATTGATTAATTTTAAAGGTTAGCAGTTATGTAGCAGAAGAAACCCTCTCTTTCACCAGCTTTGGGAAGTCACCATGGTCTGTGACTTCACACAGTTTTAATTTAAACAACAGCCGTTTCAGGATACGCCTCCTTATTACTGTTCATTTCAGTGACTTTGAACAGGGAAAATAAAAATAAAAACTCCAAGTCAAATCCCCACTTTACTGGTCTCCTCCTGGAGCCAGCTCTCACCTGGGTTGTGCATTACCAGCATAGGAAGGGAGAACAGCAGCCAAATCACGCCACTAAAAGCACCTCTTGCAGGTTAAACAAGGAGACCTTGAGGAACAGGGGCCACCCTCCCTTGCCTTCTAGCTGTTGCCTGCTGTATCTCCTGCTGATGCTGGGTCGAATGAGCAAGACGTTGCTTTTTTAGAAAACCAGCTCACACCTCAGACAGACAATTGATTTACCACTACTTGGCTTGTCCTGGTGCATCCTCTTGTGAAGTGTAAGTGCTCGCAGTCCATGGAAAGTACAGGATGATTTATGCTGTTCCTTACAACTCCCTCTCATTGCCAGCTCAGCGGTGGCACCTATACAGTGTATAGGGGCGTACAGCGGGTGAGAGCAGGCACATGGACACAAAGGATGCGTGTTGACAGTGTATACACTGTACTGGTCCCTGGCTTTTCAATCTTCCTCTGTAATTCTGTGGCGTTATTACAAGATGGATTTATAACACACCTAGAGCTAACGTAACAATGAAGATTAGTCTTCTACTAGTCGAACAGTAATACACTTTAATTTGCCTACAGCTACTGTATTATATTGCCATGAAAGGAAATAGCTTTCTAATGCAGCTTCGTCTGCTGAGAAGGAAGAAATCCATGCTGCAGAATGTAAAACTACATAGGAGTGTAGCTGGCAGCAAAATTCAGAGTAGGAAAAAAACCCCAGCACAAATAAAAGTATTTGTGAGTTGGATGTATGCTAACAATCCTAGTTTATTGTTAAACATGCCATATACAGTAATGCAGTTTGCTTGCAGGTTCAATATTGCTTCATCTTTGTTTTTTCACTCCTTCATCTTCTGTACTAAAACTTGTCCAGGAATAAAAGGTGTAAATTCATTAGTTTCCCACTTCGTTTGTGACATTAACAAAAAGTCAGTATTATAACGTTCCTCAGAAGCGCTGGTGCTGTTAACACAATCTGTGCTTCGTTCTGTACCTAGAAACACAGTGGAAATCTCAGTATTTTAATACATTAATGCAAAAGTGTCTGCTGTAAATGTAGTCTTCCCTTGAGGAGTGTCAGGCACTCTTTGAGGGGACATGTGTACAAATGGTCACTCCAGTGCCGGCATGTTATATTTACCATAAAATAGAACTCTCCTCTTCTGGAGAGCAGCAAAACCATCAGCCTCTCCCTTCTGGAAAGGCAAAGGATGTATCTGAAATCATCACTTCATACCTACTGCATGTGGGATAGAACTCACTTTAATGGGCATGTTATTCAAGCTAAAGACAAAAATGAAATGTTTCACATACTTTGGATCTTTTTCCTCAGTTAATCGTCAATGAAATTTAGTTATGTTTGAAATAACAGGTTTTGTTTCTAGACCAGAGATGTGTCTCACTTTCAACAAGGGCAAGGAAGGACTAATAACTTGCATGCAGGGAGGGAATGTATCTCTTCTGAAAACTACTGTTATAAACAGTATAGCCAGCGGGAAACAGCCGCAACAGGGCCTTGGTATCACAATAGGGCTTTGATGGGAAGGGTGACCCCATGGGCAGGGAAAAAGTCAGAGAGAACATTTTACATGAATTACTGACAAGGCGTTGAGGCAGCTTCTGCCTAGCTCACTCCACTGAGGTAAAGGGCACTTCCAAATACCTGAATTGTGTGTGTTACCCTGTTACTTTACCTACCAGCTTTGCATCAGGCTCGCAAGGTATCTGTCCATCAGCTCACAAAGGTGAGCTCTGTCACTGGCTACCATTCGCCCTGGCACCTTGCATTATCATCAGAAATCCATCGGAGCCAGTTAACTACTGTCACCACTCTAGACTAGTAACCTTCACCCTTCATCTCTTCATCAACAGGTCCCCCCATCCCACAAACACATGAAGTAGTTAGACTGGTTGTGTACAGGCATGCCCTGAATTTTACAATAAAACTGGAAAAAAAAAAAATAACAGTGAGTTTTTTTTCTTCTTTCTTCCTCAAAAAAGTTGCAACGACATGACAAAGAGGATTCCCCTGACAAGTGGAGGACAGAAGAAGAAATGGCAGCTGAAGCAGCAATTCTGAAGAAGTATTTTCAGGAAAATTAGAGGTAATGATTTATATGTTGACTTACTCCTGCAACACCAAAAACTCTGTTCAAGTCTCCACAGGCTTCTTGAGGACAGGGGGGGAATATGTAGAATAGAACAAAAGAAGTGAAAGCTCTTAGGTTTGCGTTGTTTCCAAAAGGACACAGTGCTCCTGCAGTGACTGAAATAATATGCTGCTCCTTGAAAAAATCAGCACCATCCTAGAGCATTTTGTTTCCAGAGAGCAAAAAATAATATACCTGGAAATCAGAATCATCAGCAGTTACTTAAGAGGAATGTCAAAACTAACTTATCTTCCCTCTTTTTTTAGAACAGAAAATAGCCTTGGTATCTCTATGAAAAGCTGAAAACTGGTGTGTCTGTGTACATAAGCACCTATACGTACAAAATCCCAGCCGAATTCAGACTATAGAGTGCATAATCAAATGCTAACTTCATCTGTCAAATCTTAGGATCAGTTCAACTTTCAAAATTAAGCCTGCTGGAAAACTGCCTGTTCTGCTAAATTTTCCACTGGCCCTAAAAGAAAAAAAAAAAAAAAAAAGATTTGCAGGGAGGAATAGAAAAGAGAAAACACTTGGCAAGCACTAACATTGGTGCTCTAGAAATTGAGAGATTTTCATTTTGTACCTGGAGTCCCAGAAGCCAGATTCTTCCAGTAGAAATAAACTGGCCCCCGGAGATCAATATGAGTTACGCTGGGATGTACACTGCAGCAATGATGCCAAAAGCTCCCTCTCCCCTGTTCCCCATATGTTGTTTGCCATCATCCAGAACTCTCATTTCTCTGTCATTTCTGACTGTTTCATATTTTTTCCTCTGGAAGAACCGAAATCCCATAAATATCCCTCCTCTCTGCCTGTGACTCACTGCTTACAGCCCGGCTTGAGAAATCTTGAGCTAAACTACACAGTGTGCACATGGCAGCTTGTCTCCCATGTCATTCTGTCCTCTCCATTTGGGCCGGTTCATCTGACTCTTTCCATTTTTTCTTGCATGATGACCATACTCTTGTCTCCTCCACTCTAATTAACTGTGCCAACCCTCCTGCAGACTGACACAGAGAAAGGCACGTAACACACATCATTCCCATCTGTGAAGGAAACTTGTCCTCAGCATCTGGGACCTAGGGACCTCCAGGGTTTGAAGTAACAGGGTTTGGATTACACAGTCAAGTTTCCAGCATGGCTGCTGGATTTTTACTTAGACACTTTTCTACCTCCTCAGAAATATGTTTCTCAAAAATGAATCACTCAGCCAGAAAGAGCATATGCTTAGGTAGTTCATATGTAAGCACACTACTAACAGAGGCATTATGTAGGACTTCATCTATGGCCCAGCAGTAAATGAACAGTACTTAAGATAAAATGGTGCATCCCTATTCCAAAGTGATGTTGTTCCCTGTTCTATATTTGGGAGGTTTGGGGCAGGGAGGGGAGCTGGTCTGGTTAGAAATTAATTTGAAATGCTTTTCTGCAGAGATTCTCAAAGGGGTTGAAATTAAATCCCCACATATCCCTAAAATGTTCTTAGGCTCTTCTGATGCTAAACACAAAGCTGGTATAAATTCATTCCTGCAAGCAAATTCATGTGGCTGGACATTTATTTCCATTTATGATAAAAATAAATCAGCATGTGTCTGCATTGGATGACCTCTTGATAAGTTCCCCACAATATTAAGGTCATTACCTTTCCTAGAACAGACTGGTAAATTAAATCTTACTGGCATCATTATCATGAGAGTATTTTGCCTAGTGCAGGCAGTCCTTCCAACCCTTGATTCCCAACACAAGGCATCATTGTCAGCCCTGACATCGTTTTGCTTCTGAGGTTTAAGGCTCTGAACCTGAGATAAAGGTATGTCTGACACCTTCTGGATTTCTCAACTTTTATCTACTCTCTTAACCTTGCTTCTAAAGTGATGAAGATTGAAAACTTTTGGCAAATTAACAAGGTTATATGCATCCCTCTTTGAAGCTATTTTTGGTTTTCACCTACAAAAGATTTATTTTGCCATTTATAAGTTTACCTGGATGCTATTTTACTTGAGCTTTTTCATGCGGCACAAGGAAAGTCAGAAAGAGCTGAATGTGGGTGTTCTGGAGCCAATAAATAGCAATTTTTAAGGCTTCGTGCATTATTTTTCTACTTAAGTGTTTTGTTCAAAGAAGCCCAGCTCAGCTAGATTAGCCTTCATAGACTGAGCTGTTTCAGAGCTTTCCCAGCTACCCTTACATTTATCACAAATCCTTCAACAACTGTCACAACTCCTCTATGACTTGACTAAGTACAGTGCTGCCTTTTGCCTGTATTTATAGATTATCTGATCACGAAGGACTTGCAGGTGACTTTTTCCTAAGAAATACCTGAACAAAGCAAGAAGCTCTTGATTCTTTCCCTACTACATTTGCTGGTGCTGATCCCTCTTGGCTGGTTGGGTGGCCACAGCTGAGTGCTTCTACCCCGGTCCCCAGATGATCAGAAATATCCAGGCACTTGCTTAAAGATATGAACCCCATTTAGCCTCGCTAAGTTTACACCCTTGAGAAAATCCTTGCCTTAAAATAATTTATTCCTGTGTGCAGCTGCTTAGAGCAGATGAAAGTGAAACCAGGGAGTGAATTTGTGGTTTGCATACATTTCTGGTCTTTCACTGCACGTCCCCATGCCACTGTATCCCATCTCATTAGGACTTTCCACTCCTTGAACACCTCCAGCACATGCGGGCTCTGCAGAGCTGCTCACGGTGCTGTGTCTGCAGAGCCGAAGTTCAGCAGAACTTCATGTGGCTCTGGACAGGGACAAGAAAATAAATTAAAAAAAAAAAGATTGTCAGTAGGACATTTGATCTATAATTGCCCCGGTTAGTCACATTGTTGCTTAGCAGCACCAAGATTTGGCCTCTTCAGGAGTGGTTCCTCGTTCAGCGTTGGCTGTCATATGGTCAGTTGTATTTGGTAACTGGTTGCTCTTCGAGGTGGATCCATGGGGAAAGAGTCCTTACTCAAAGAGCAAGCTTAGGTGCAGCATCTTAATTTCCAAGTCTATTTTCAGATGAACCTTTTAAATTTTCTAACTATCTATAGCTGTGTGTTTTGATAGTCTGTTTTGTGCATTTTAAATTACACATGCCAGCAGAAAGGCTAAAGATTAAAAGAGTTACTAACCTTCAGATAGTGTATGAAAAACGTTTCTCTTCAAAGGCAGTTTCACTCTGTGTTGTTGTTCTGAAGAAAGAACCAGGCTGTGCAAGTTTCAGTAGAAGTTTTCCTATTTTATGCATAAATGAAGTAATACTTGTATGCCATTAGAGAAGTAGTCAGTCTTAAGGACGATGTCAAAATGTCCCCTTGCAGAAAGGAGTTGACAGTGACACTTTGTTGCCTGGTGTTTTTTGAGTTACAAATATTCAATAGCTTTTAATTGCTTAACTACCTGAATATTTTGTGCGATTCAAAATGCAAAATTCAATTTAATCTCTCTCCAAATAATGTGGGCTTCACAATTGTGCCGGATTTCTGATGTCAGTTCTCTCCTTCCCCAGTCTGGCGATGTTTCTGGAGAATATAGTCTTTTCAACTTTGTCAGAGAATATGAATTTTATTCTTTTTTTTTTTCGCCCCACTGCGGAAGAGAGACGATTTCATTTTTCAAGAGCACTCATCCTGCCTCACAGCTGCCTCTTCTGCACCAAGATCTCAGCATGTGTGAAAAGATGCTGTTCTGTTGACTTCAGCGGGGAAATTACCGCTGTTAGCAGCAGCTGACCAGAGGGAATTTAAACTGGCAATTTGGCTTGCATCTATCTGGTTTTGCTCCAGCACCTCTGACAATCCATGCTGCATGCATGAGAGTGAGCATCAGAGTGATTCCATCACTTTCCATAAATTTAGGCAAATATGACAACATGGCTCACAGCACCCTTTCTTTGCTTGTTTTACTGTAAGAAAAGCCCTCTTGTTATTTCTGGTACTTTAAACTGAATAAAACCACAAAATTATGACTATGCCTTGGACTGAATCCACAGACCGGATCTGGGACACACGCTGTGCAGTGCGGACACAGTCTGCCCCAGAAGATGCTGCACCTGCAGTGTGGACCACAGAGCAGGTTGTCCCCTGGGTGACAGTGACACCGCAGACGTGGTCAGAGGTATTTTCTGCAGTAGATTCTCCTCCACTGTAGTCAGCCTGTTGGCAAGTGGAATCACCACTCAGTCACAGGGAATACAACGGGCTGTGGGCTCTCGTCTGAGGAAGGGCAGCAGGGGAAAGGGGTACAGCAAGCAGGGACCCCTCAGTTTCAGAGCCTCACTTTATAAGCAGGACAATTTTTCAAGTGCTTACACTGGAGTTAAACTCAAGGTGGTGCCTCGTCCTGGGGATTTCCCAGAGAGCATTGTTGAGAGCTGCTCGTGGCTGCACTTAGGAGCTGTTTGTATATAATCCCTAGGTAAATACTCATCCTAGTAATCAGCTATAGATTTCTCTGCACTCCAGACTTAAGTGCTATTAATTATATCCCCCACTCAGAAACCTCCAAGTACCATTAATTAGAAAGCAGGAGCTGATGGTTTGCTTGCCTGTGTGAAACTGTTATGACCTGAGAGTGAAATATAAGCTTCAAAAGAAACATGTTTTATGAAGGTCACCTTGGAAAACGTCATAACAATCTGTCAGGAGAAGAGAATGCAGCACTGCAAGTGTGCGTTTCACTGTGACATTATGCTTTAAGTAGTTGGAAATAGCAAAGAGAAGATGGATCAGATCATAGGGTCTGTGCTTTTTCACACAAAATTATCTTTTTTTTTTTCTTCAGTAAGTACATATAAAGTAATCTTTTTGTCATTTCGGTGGAATGCAAGGAAAGTTAATATCAACAGAAATCCAACAGACAAACATAATCTGGCCCTTGCTGGTATTTTTGAAGTGTAAAACATCCAGACCCAGCACCTCTGCAGCAGGGAGAACATTTATGCAGAGGAATTAAATGATCTCTTCAAGGGAAGATGTAAACAGCCAGAAGAAGTGCAGCGACTGTGTAGAGCAGTAATACCCACCCTAGAAGGCTCAGGGCAAAAGGCTTCCCAAAATAAATGTGGTGTGCTAATGCACAGAAACCTCAGCGTCGAGGTTGATTATTTTTCTGATTGAAGCATATCATTATTCTTATGAAAACAAATCTGCAATAGACTTAGTTATACGTAAAATGTCTTCCTCTTCCAGGAGGCCAGCATGAACATGATGTTCCCCCTCACACCTATTCCAGGGCTCTATTTTGAGGCTGTAAGCAGTACTGTGCTGAAACATATGTATTTCATTCTCTGGACTTCCACTTCCTGATGGGTGGCCATTTAATTCGGCTGTAAAGAGTACATGAATTCCATACAGCATTGCTCCGATACTGTAATTATCGCTGCAGTAGAAACATCATGGCCAGAGACACAGACAAGATTGTACCACATAAAGGCAAAGCAGCAAATGTGTTAGTGTTCGCAAAGAAAGCTGACAGAGAGCCAGATGTTCTCTTCACTTGCACATCCAGCAGCCTGAATGCTTACCTGGGATGTCTGTCAAATGCCAAGTATTTTCAGACTGATCCGTTCTTGATTCATCATTAAGCTTTATGTATGTCACATTGTATGAGAGGAAAATGGGGAAAGCCGAGCGTATCTGATAGACATTGTGTCCCGGGACCTGGGATAAAGAGTCAAGGCACAGGACAATGCTGAGCTTCAAATAAGGATATCAACTGAGGTCAAGTACTTTTATACCCAGACCTGTGCTAAAATGGTGCTAATCTCTTGCCCCCAAAGCTGCACAAGGATGCACTTACTAAGCAGCCAGACCCTCCTTCAAGCAGATTCACAAAAGCATGCCAAGTAATTTACAGGCTGCCATCAAACTGTCAGTCAAGAGGGGCATACAATGGAAACTGTTGCTCAAAATGCCATCAAAAGGGGAAACATATGTTTCAGTGAGAAAAGACAATCAAACAAAGAAGTGGGCGGTTGGGGAGTTGCAGCCACAACAGCAGCAAGGATCCAAGCCTCATGCACAGCCCCGGGAAACAAGTTTGGGGGCCATGCCCTCGTCTAACAGTTGGGTAACAGCGTTGTGTTTAATAAGCTGAAATAATTTTCCGATTATTGAAGCCAGCTCTAAATATGCTCTGAAGTGAAGGTACAAAAATTGAAGATACCAAAGTATAAAGCCCACCTCACGCTCAGTTATTAGCAAAGGTTTGTATCGTGTTTTCCTATTGCTGTAGCTGCTGCATAATAGAACTGCCCAGAGAGACGCACTAACCAGCAGCTTGGATGTGACCTCAGAGCTTAAAAGCTGCCTTTGTGTGAGTTTTGGTATCTAGGCTGTGTAGGTGGAAAGGCATTAATAGCTCCTCCAGTACGTAGTTATTTGAAAAAGGAAGGGCGTAATGGACACTGGACTGAGCATAGTTGAGGCTCCGTTGTTTGCCAGGATGTCAGTCTCTACACGAAAGGACAAGTTATGGGCAAGGGTAAACCCAACCACCCCGTTTGTGTTAGCACCTGGGGCGGCTGCGAGCCTCCAGTTAATGCTGCAATAACAATTGCGTGTGAGTTTGTGCAGGGATTTCACACGCAGGTTTCACAGCTGCAGTCGACTGCACTTACCAGGCTCTCAGCATTTCTAATTCTCTACCTCAAGAACACCTTCCAGGTCTGTCATGGCACCTACTACAGGTCTTTTACTAGGATGAGCCACCAAGATATGCATAAAATTGGAGCAGACATGGGAATAAATACCCCATTCATTCTCCAGTGTGTGAGGCTGGGGGCATTTTCACAGTGATGGTCCCAAATCACTGGTGTGTAATATCCTGGCATTAGGCAGAGTCCCACCGCAGGGTCAGGATGGATGAGGATATACAAGATACGATGATTTTGAAAGAGCATTTGCAGGAGCTTATATAAGAGATCATACACCCCAAAGACTCTTGCATGAGATTATTATAACAAAATTGATTTGAAGAGTAAGAAGCTGGATTTGATGACACAAGATGCCCTTTCTAATCCTTCATTCTTATGACTGGCGGTCAACAGAGCTGGGGACTGTGCTGTCTTACTCAGGGACATCAGCAAGGTGGCTTCGCTTCATGTTTGTTTTTTGTAAAATGATCCTGACCTCCTTTGGAGGGGGCTTTGTGAGTTAGGAATGAAAAGCACAATATGAAAGGCAGGCATTAGTATTATTTGGAAGTGAACTTTATTGAAAAAGCAGATAATAAATCAAAGAAACGCTTCTCTTTCTGGCCTCAATACATAATTTTAAAACAGTTGTGTGCAAGGATTTTCTCCCTTCTCTATTGCACAGGCTATAATAGGAGCTGAAATGTGCTGTGTGTGGATTTAACGCTGAACATTTCCCTTTGCCTGTCGCTGTCAGTGTTTCCTGTTGGAACATTCTAATGAGCACCTGACTCATTAGCAATAAGCAGCCTGACGTTTTGTCTTACTAACAAAGATCAAAGATACTATTATACGTAACTATCTGTTGTGTTTGATATTTCTCAGGTAACAAAGTGGTTGAAAAACATCCCGTGACTTAAGAAACTCCCCAGAAAGACAGATCTCTCTCTGCAGTTCTCCGTGACCCTGGAGCTGCAGCTGAACAATTTTATTGTGTTCTACAAATATGGGATTCTTCCATGAAAAACTTTATTGGACCTTTGGATATCATCAAGGTTGAATTTCAGCTAAGACAACTAACAGCGCTGATTCAAAATATTGCTCTGAGTAGTAACTCATATTTTTCTGAATTGTGTACTTGGGAATGAATCTTTTTAAATTGTCCCTTGGCTTAAATTGAAATAAAGTGCTAGCAAAATCAGGTAGCTATTCTGTTTAGGTACATTACAAAGGGTTTACTCCGTGTTGTGCTTTTTGATTCAGTTATTGTATGTGGGCTATTATATCATAGAAAAATTAGATTTTTTAGCAGTATGACAATTCATAAAACCCAAGGCTTTGTTACAGACTAGCCAAGATAAACTTGGAGAGCTACTCTTTTGTTGGGTAAGGTAGTATAACAAGAAATACAACACTTCCTAAGCTCATTCCTTTCTCTCTTCCTTTCAATGCATTGTCACTATGCTTCGAGAGCCTAAGGTGATACAAAACACTTCTGCAAATCAATGAATACGTAAAGCTGCTAATGGCATAGTAATCACATTAAGGTTAAACTGGCACGAAATGTCCTGCTTCCAGCAACAAACATGAGTGGGAGCCACCCATGTGGAACGCTCCCTTGGCAAGAAATGCCCCACACAGAAAGAAACCTGCCATGGGTTAGTTGTTGATCGCTAACATGTAATAAAGGAAAAGAAGCCAAACAACAGATGGAAGAGAGAAGAAATGAGTCTGCAAGATATGCATGAAAAGAGCACCCGTCGTCTTGCTCTTGAATTGTGGAGAAGCGACAGCCGAAGGTTTTTGTGTCCCCTGAACTCAGGATGGAAAACAAAATCCACCAAGTCTTTCAATGAGAGCCATGCCAAGGGGGGCACAGGGTGCAGGGTCTACCTGAAGGCTTGAGGAGGTCAGAGTCAGGTCCAAACCAGAGCCTGGCAGTGCTTTGCATGTCTGGTAGCACAGTGTGGCCACTGTCCAAACAAATAAAAATGCTCCACAACAGTCTGTCCTGAAGGGCTGCAACCTGACCTGAGAAGTATGAAAATGCACGATGGATGAATTCTCATAACTTTTCCTAAGTATCTCTCTGCTATATACTGCAGGTGAGTTCAGTTCTTTGGTTTGAAGTCTTTGTGCTGGTCAAATAGAAATACTAGAGCAAAATCACTGATGTTTGATTCCAGATTTTACTGTGATCCTGTTAAAATATTGCTCCTGAAAAGCCACTTGGAGTCAGAGATTTACCATGACCCAGTGTGGCCACCAGTATCTTCCATTAGCCCTTTTGAAAACTCTAGAGATTGTTATACGCCATTTCTTGTTCCATGCAGCGCAAATGGAAAGTGCATTTTGATGGTGTCTGTACTTTTTAGACCCTGAACAAGGGCTGAATAAACAGGAAATGAAGGTCAGGGGGCAAGAAGTGACAGTGAAGAAAAGGTGAGCAGCCAGGATGGTCAAAGATGCTGGCAAATGGGCCAACACATACAGTTGTCCTTTTGCACTTCAAAACTAAAACCGGCTGTGATTTCACACAGTAGGAAGACAATGGTTGTGCTGCTGAAAGGAAAACCTGAGCATCAGTTACGTTTGCAAGGTATTTCCGAACCTGGTGCTCAAGGGCTTCCTATTAAGTATGGAATATTCTGTATTAATTCTGTAGCCTGTGATGAGCGAGTGCTGTGCCAACCATTTTGCACAGGGGCTGCGGAGCAGATGAGTGCTGAGCTGTATGGAAGATTTCATTTCTGTAAATGAGGAGGCCGTTATCACAGCACTAAAGGTCCTGTTTGGGTTTTTTTTAAAAAAAAAAAAAAAAGCCTCCTGTGACATTATGCACAAAACAACCTATTTATGCAGCATGAAAATATTTATGTGCTTCGCTCCAGCTTTAAAAGAGAATTTGCAATAGATGAGGGGCATGAGAAAGGATTGGAGTGAGAGATAAGGAGAGATTAGAAAAGGCAGATCATGAAGTACATGACATCCTGCAGCAGTATGTGGAGTAACACCCCCCCACCCCCACCTTTTTTTAAGACCTGAGCCTTCAGGATGGTGTCTGGATCGTTCATACGCTTCCTGTAGACTTAATTTTCCACAGGCAGGGCGCTGCACACAAAGGTGCAGTTGCTGGAAGTGTGAGGATACGCTGTACTTGAAGGCGTTGATGGTTTTTGTCTTTTCCAGCCTCAATCACCTGAGGTCATGCCCAGAGCTTGCCTTTGGGCTGCGGGATGTTGCAGAGTGCTGAGCTCCTCCACTGAAAGCAGAAAACATGGGAAAAAAAAATCATCTGTGCAGGGAATCAGGTGGATGTGGTGCACGTGGAGTGGCCCCGACAGGGTGGCTTCATAACAGGACAGAGCTAACTGTGCCTGCTGCTGCTCGGCTCGTACCCTCATTCCCTGTCTTTACATGCAAACAAGTTTCCCAGATTTTTTCGATTAGCAAAAGTTTGTTTTGCTGAAGGGAGCAGTTCCTCCACGGGGCTGCAGCGGCTGTGCCTGTGTGCCTCTATTTTCATTAGCAAAACAGCTGTGGTTCAGCCACAGTGCTCTTCATTGGCTTTTGTAGGACCAGGCTCAGAGTAGGATGTGGCTCCACATGCCCTCTTCCCCCTGCGTGCCTTGGAACAGAAACTGCAGAAGAGCTGCTTGGGCACGGTCAGTCCCACGGGCAGGAGAACAGCCGGGGTACTGGGAGCACGCCCTGATGGGGACACCACCAGCCGGGGTACTGGGAGCACCCCCTGATGGGGACACCACCAGCCGGGGTACTGGGAGCACCCCCTGATGGGGACACCACCAGCCCATGCACCCAGTCTCTGCCCTGCCAGGCAGCCCAGCTGTACAGTCCCATTTGAAGGCCACCTGGCAGCCATCTGCTCACACACGTACGTTTTTCAGGGCTGGGCAAAACCCATCAGGAGCAGACTCTGAACACTTTGGCACAGCAGCAACATGGGCCCATGTTGTGCTGTGCAAGGTCCCAGACAGCAGGCCTCTCCACATCCCTGCTGGGTTTCCAGTATGCTCCTCTGCACTGTAATTATGATTTTTTGTGCAGAAAGGCATCTTAGATGGCTAATCGTCCTGCAGCAAATCTGCTTGCACTAAGGCAGATAGATATTCTACAGTGCTTTCAGTGAAGGCTGTGAGTACAGCATGAGGATATCTTTTAATTGCCTTTCAACAATTCAGCATCATTCTTGCTCCAGATGCAGATGCACCAGCCCCTGGTCCTCCACAGGACAGCCAGTGCCACCCCAGGTAGCTCGAAGGGTCTTGTGTGTTGACAGAATCGATGGGCTGGGGACGTGCCACAGCAGCTCCTTGAAGTCTTTGTGAAGTATTTCAGAAATTGGCTCCGTGCTGCTTCTAACCTCCCCCAGAACACATGCATCCCACCTCCCAGATACCAGGCTCTCATTTGTTCCTGTGCTCAAATAACACTGTGCTTTGTTTTTAATTAATGTTGCAGAGAGGGGAAAATGACCGTTTGATCTCTGTGGGAGCCTGACTTGGCTGCAGACTTAAGAGGACATCTAAGACGAAGGCTCTTGGCTGCGAGGGGGGCGAGTCAAGGTCAGCTCCTGGCTTGTGACATCACCTTGAAATATGACTGGGGACTGAGCACCCCCTGGCATAAAAATACCTGGGTACGTGTGAGATCGGGGGGTGATCTCACACCCTAGCCGTAAAGGAATAAAAATCACAGTGCCCCAGTACCCACAGAGCTAATGAAAAACTTTCAAGCCCAAATACACACATAGTGACAGCCATGAAAGTATCTAAATCATTTCTATTACAGCTTTCTGTGTTCCCTTAACCACTCCCCATCTCTCGCTGTCCCCGCAGTCGACAGCTGCTGAAAAGCCTTGTCCGATTCCTGCGTCTGGTTCCCAACGTACAGGCCAGCAGTGCTGTGAAGGAGAAAACTCTGCTGCTCGTGTAAGCTGTCCTGTGTGTTGGCAGGGCTGAGTTTCAGAACAGAGTGATGTATTTCAGCTCTTGTGAAATTTCTGAATAATCAGCTCATCAAAAAATAGCACGCAGAGTTCCCTTGTAGTCCTCTCCAACTTGCCACCTCTCCTGCCAATAGCTCTGTAGGGTGACCACAGCTTGGCATAGCCCATTAGCAGAGCTCTGCACAATCACTCATGAATAGATCTGGCTGGAAAATACAATTTTCCTTCTTGGAAAAAAAAAACCAACAAAAATTTGGTGGGACAGGGGGGATGCTTGGCATTTCAGGATGAAGATTTTCTCCACTGCTCTCTCCAGCACTGTCTTCTGCTCATCCTTGCACCCTACCCTTTTTCCTCCCAACCCTATTTTTTAGAAGGTGACTCCAATAAAATAAAAATTCCACTTTTTAGTGGCAAAATCACTGGATGCTGTTTGATCTGCTGGTGACCTCCTCCTGGCCCCCAGGGCTAGGAGTCTTGCTGCAGGATGGGCACCCACTGGCACCTTCTCTGGGCAAGTTGTTCTTGGACCAGCACCTTTTGCTGCCACTGCCCAGTTTCTTCTTTGGAGTTTCTTCATGATATTCCCCTCCTCGAGCTGCTCAAAAACCTGATATTTAGGCATCTGGAAGCTGGCAACCACATCTCTGTTCATGGTAGGTGCTGGAAGGGCCTCGGGGTGAACCCAACCAGTGCTACGGAGACAAGAGGCTGAGCAGCAAGAGTCGCTGGTCTGCCTTCAGCTGCTCCTCTCCATCCTGGGTTGCCTCCAGGCACATCTCGCTGTGCTTTCCCCTTCCTTCTGGACATGTGTTTCTCAGCCACAGGTGATCACTGCTTTGGCTGGAAAGCGCAGACTTCCTCACTGTGTCCTCTAACGATGCTCAGAGCTGAAACGCGGGGAGGAGGCTAGGCTGGTTTCATACCTTGTCCTTAAGGCAGGTGGCAAATAGCAAGTGCTGTGGAGGAAGGAGGTGCAAAAATCAATGATTAGTGCATGAGGATTAAAGCTGTGGCATGGAAGTTTTATACGGCCAGGATTTTTTTATTTTTTTTTTAGGCCTATAGTAGCTGCATTGACCATGGCACTCGCTGTAACGTGGGGCTTAGTACTTGTGTCACTTTTCAAATCCCCGTATGCACACGCGGGACACAACTGCATCCATCAGTGAGAGGAGGCCCCAACACAGTTCTCAAGCACTGACTGTCCCCTCCTTGGCTTTGCCCCCAAACCGGCCGCAGTTGCTGAGCACTTCTCTGTCCCTCTTTAGATGTGTTACCCTGCCTCTTTCTGCTCAGGCTTTTGTCATTTCTTTTGTCACCATAGTGACAGGAAAAGTGATGATGGCTGGAGTAATTTCCCATATTAGCTTGTCTTGGCCTTTCAGCCAAAATCAGTGCTTCATTTTCCCCAGGCTCTGGCTGAGCCCCAGCACAGCAGCATTAGAAGGCAGCGATGGAGGGACCCTGGCATGTCAGGGTGCTGCCAGCGCTCCTCCAGGACAGCCTGGGCAGGGACAAGGCCTCCAGGTCACTGCATGTCCCACTGCCACACACCAGGGATGCACAGAGAAAAGAGGAAGGGGAAAAAAAAAAAAAAAATCCACTTTTGCAAACGTTTCTCACTGCGTGCATTTGCTGTGGGTCTCGTGGTCTGTAAAAAACAGGAATTTGGTCACTTCTGTCTGTTTTGGGGCATGTGCAAATCTGCAGGGTGCATAGGAAGAGCTCCCCGGAGGTAACCGCTTGCTCTGACCCGTGCAGCGAGTTGGCAGAGACCCCCAGCCTGTGCCCCCCACTCTGCACTGGCCATGCCCAGGGAGCCCAAACCAGGGCTGGGACCAGACCTGGGCTCACAGTGGGGCAAGGGGGCAGCTCAGCACAAACGGCTCCTCTCTCCCAGGCTTTAGTAGTCATTCAGTGCATCTCAGAGAGACACACACACACACAAATACATTCTTAGAAATCAAGATCATTAAGTACACAAATACATTTAAATAACAAACAAGCTCCTGAAAAGAGAAGAAAGATCGCAAAATGCAAAATGAAAGCTGCTCTTCTGTTCTCCACTCCGGCGGCGCCAGTCCCTGCCGCAGAAGAGGATATATTAAGGAGAGTCTACCTTCATTTCAAGCGCGCTGCATTTTGTCCTCATATCACAACATTAACATTATCCCCACATAATTTTGTGTATTTAATTTTACAATAGACTGCGCCAGTGAGCGCTGCCTGTAAATATTTGATCACCACTATTCCTCTAGGATTATCTTATCAAGAGTAAAGATATTAAAATAGAAATCTTGTCATGTTACTGCCTTTATACTTCCAGCCTGAGAGTTGATTGACAGAAAATGAACTGCCTGAACTAGCTCTAAAGTGTCTTTTCACTGAGAGCTTTAATGCCAGAGGCTATAGAAAAAAAGGTAGCTAGTCATCGGAAACTAATGCCTTGCTGTAGTTATGGAGCTTTTGTACTGAAGATTAAAAAATATGAATCTACTAGGGGTATTTTTACAAGTGTAAAATGGTGTTGGTCTTTTTTGTATCTTTTTGCCATCTCTAATGAGCCTTAAAAAGAGCCTTCCCTTTTCTGCCTGCACTTGAATATTAGCTGCAGCCTCACCGCAGCTCACAGACACCGGCTGAAGTTTTGCAAGAGTAAGCTCTTGACTTATCTAACCTATAAAATTTCTTTTTGGTGATAAAACAGATTGCGAGCCAGGACTGAATGTTCCTGCCTAGCTTGGAAAATCAAACCACTATAGACAAGTCAAGGTTTCTATTTATGGCCAGTTAAAGACGCACCGGTAATGCTGTTTTAATGTTACAAAATTG